CAATGTTCAAATATTTTGGCCACCCTACAAAATTTAATAAAAAAAACAATTGCCTGTTGCCGTAAATTAAAGAAGTGTTACCAATCTGGCGTGGAATGGAATCTTTATTGTTAAGAGGGTGAGATACGGGTCAATGTGACTTTTACTTGTAATATATTAGTTGAGCTAATTTGTTTATTTGTTTGTTTCTTAATTGCTTTTTACAAAAATTGAATGTGTCCTGAGGCCTTTCGTTTCTTATTTTCAATAAGTCGAGTATATGATGAAAAATTGCAACATCAATGCACTATAAGTAAGTTATACACTCCACTTCCATAAGTTTGGCAACCTTAGCTAGGTTTGCCGCAAGTCATATGACACAATATTCATCCTTCTGAGTTCTTGCTAAAAATATAAGTTAGGTAGTCAATTAAAATAATAAAAAATTGATACGTTTATTCAGGTTTAAAAAGTTATGGGCCTTCAAAGTCAGAATTATTTTTCAAATAACTCCTCCCATTTAAATAACACAGGAGGTGAAAATGATTTTCAAAAATGACTTTGAAGCTCTGTTACTTTAGTATTCATAAGGTAAGCTAAACACTTAGCGTACAAAAAAGTTAGACAAATCAATTTTCTATATAAAAATATTTTATGGTGAATCTTTTACTGGATAGATATCCTGAAATCAGATTTGCTCCGAACCAAACATTTTCCATTGGTCATATGGAAAGACGATTTTCAAAGTTTCATCAAAATTTATCATCAATTTTCGACCTATAGTAATTGAGGGAAAAATTAGGAAAATTTGGAGGCATTGGAAATAAGGCCAAGTTACATTTCCATCAATATTATAACTATTTTCCTTGTAGATTATGTCAATAAAAATTCAAACATAAAGAGGCTTAACATGTAGTTCAATGAAAGAGCTAAGGTTGCCAAACTTATGGAGGGGAGTGTACAAATATAGTAAATTGAAGGCTCTTTCCAATGGTAAATGGTATTCTACAAATGTTTGGCTTGTGGAAATCTTGTATTGCAAATGAAAAAAAAATGAACAATTATTTATCTTAAACACATTCCAGACAATCCATATAGTAAAAAGTATAAGTAATTGACTTTGTGAAACGTCTCGATGATTTCATTTCATTCACTGCTTTTAATCCCGTAGTAAGCAAATACGCCTCGTTTGTTTCCATCATGAAAAACATCTCATCATTATATTCAAAATTGATAAACATCAAAAAAGTCTAAGATAATGAAAAAACACTTCGGAAGTCAAAATCCTTAAATTAGGAAACATAAATCATATTAAACCTGAATAAAAAATTGGAAGAAATTGTTCAAAATAAACCTGGCGTTAATTTATTGTAGGGTAATAATAAAACTGACGATTGCTCACTACACATCGCTTGAGAGGAGATCAATGAATAACGGATTAGTCACGTTCAAGTTCCCACGTCTCGCCCTCCGGCAAATATCTCAAAAATTAAAAGCAGTATGTTCTGCTGTTTATTCTGAGCAGTATGTTCTGAGTTTTGAGAACCATTTTGTATTCGATATGTATCAAAATGACTTCTGTATGAATAGCATAAGCATTGTCCTTTGGGTTTTTATTTGTGGTAATGGTCTAGAGGGAGGGGAGGGGTTGTTATGTAAAGCATAATTTCTTCGTTCGTTGGATCATTGTTTGGAGCATTTGTTTTTTTCATATGTCATATGACTTGCGGCAACACTACCGTTTCCCATTGGTTTACATGGGAATGTCGATTTTCAAAAATTCATCAGATTTATCATCAATTTTCGACCTATTGTAATTGAGGGAAAAATTGGGAAAATTTGGAGGCATTGGAAATGAAGTCAAGTTACATTTCCATCAATATTATAAGTGATTTTCTCGCAGGTTATGTAAATAAAAATTTAAACCCAAAGAGGCTTTAACACGTAGTTCAATGAGGGAGCTAAGGTTGCCAAACTTTTTGAGAGGAGTGTACATTTCGTACTTTGTGACATACTCGATAATTATTATTCCACGTTTATAATGTAAATGTGTCTTCGTTGTGTGTCATGTTATGCTAAATGTATAACTTGTTCATTGTATGTCATGTTATGCTATATTTATAACTTGTAGAGTATAATACAATAATGCTGTGTTGTATTGTGCCAGATGGTGAATATTCCATAAGGTTATTGTTGATATTAATTAGAAAATGGACTTGAATATTATTAACAGAAAAGTAATAGCTTATATACAATGAGGATGAAGTCTATCTTATTAATATCTGTCAATAGTTCTATTTGACGTAATCGAGGAAATGTCTATTTAATTATACATTATATTATGCGTTGTACAACGTTTTCAGGAAATAGAAATCATAAATGAAAGAGGAAAACAAGACAGGGTTTAATACACACGTACATACTACATACGTACTACACCAAATGATTCAGATATTAGTTAAATATTAGCTATTTTTATTATATTACCGAGGACGAATTCATGTAGAGGGGAGGAGTGTTACAGATTAATTTACCTAACTGGCAATCGTTGTTGTTTGAGATTGAGCTGTTGAGATGACATTTCGGTTCTAATCGGATATTACGCTGTCAGATGTCACTCAATTTCAATTATCAAACTTCTATTCCTACGTTTCGAGTGTTATTTGTCTCCTTTTTCAATGCTTTATTTTACTAGATACTTGCATTGCAGTCGATAACTCTGTCGAAATCAATAGAAGCTTTCAGGAAAATATCATTAGCTCCACATGAGTGGATTATTCTGTTTTACCATAAATATTTCTAATTTTTGAAAACATTTTTTGTCGAGGTGGCAGATGAATAAATCAATTAGATTTACAATTATAGGAAATACAAGACAAGACGAACCATAAAAAGAACCATAATATAAATAATACTTCCATATAATTATGTAAATTGTTACTTACGATTTGTAGTTTTATTTCCATTTTATCATGTGCAACATCTGCTAGTTCCTAAGGAATCTGAACTCTTGTATTTTCAATGTTAGACTAGCTACCTCATATCATACTGACATTAATCCGACCATAAGTCCCGCCATCGACCACGTGTTATTGTACTTTGGCGCTAAAAGTCAATAATGTCGATGTTGTTTCAATTGATTTCTTTATCATAATTCGATAAAAACGTCTGAAGATCTAACATTTCTATAAAATCTGACATTGAAATCATTTGTTTTTTGGCTGTGTCTTGCATATAAGATATTTGTATCAATTCGAAGGTTTACAGAGCCTTGGCGGATTAGGCCGTTTAACGCTGTACATGTACCTATACATTACAGGGGCGGATCCAGGAACCAACAAGGGGGGGGGCCCAAATTTCAGGTCAGAGAAAAAAAGGTCCGCGCTTGCGCGGAAAAAAATTTTGGGCCCCTAAAATCCTAAAGTGGGCCCAGATTTTGAAATTTTGAGGCCCATTTTCTTCAAAATTTGGCCTGAAATTAAAAAATAAGGCCTTAAAAGGCCCAGTAATGACCAAAAAGGCCCACTTTTTGGGGCCTGAAGGCCTTGTTTGGCCCAAAAAAATTTTTGGGCCCAATTTTTTTTTTCTAGGCCCACCCAAGGGGGGGGGGGGCCGGGCCCCCAGGCCCCCCCCCCCCCCCCCCCTAATCCGCCAGTGCATTAATTTGTTTAACGAGTTGTTCTCGTTCTCTTATTCAAAGAAAATGGAAGCTCACCACTTTTCTAATTAAAGGTCCAATGTAAAATCTAAGCCACTTTGGCGTGTACTGTAGAATCATCTCATATATCAAGATGTCACATTTGAAATTGTTTTAATTTCAAAAAGTTCGTTTTGACGGAATTTTTACATTTTCATTTCATTTGATATTACATGACCATGCGCCAAAGATGAGTAGGCTACATTCAACATCGCCCTCTTTTCTAAAGAAAAAAAATTAATTAATTTCAGCGAGAGAGAGAGCAGAAATGAAATTGACTGAATAACGTTACAAAATACATGACGAGAGTTTTTATATCTAATGAGCTATTAATACGGAAAATAAATTATTTCGAATTATTAGTACCTGATTTTGTTTAAGAGAGACTGCGATTAGATTTCCGCTCTAGATCAGAGAGATAACATGTAGTATTCTGTCAATTAAAGAGATTTATAAAATACACCATACATGCGTTACTGACATCTTTCTGTCGAACTAATCCCCAAAGATGTTTAGTTAATCCTGAAGCAAATCAACAAACAAACAATCAGGAAAATGTCAAGTAATCAAAGAACACAAATTATCCATAAGAAAAAAACATCGCAAATAATCTGCGGAAACAGAGGATGTCATAGGGGTGGATCACGTCGTTTTTATTAAAAAAGGACGATTCTCGGTTTGGAGAACAGTCTCCTGAGCTAATAATTTTTTTCATGAAAAATATAGAAATACACCCAAATTAAACTATGAATATTCAAAAGAGGACATTTAAATCCACAAGATGTAAAAATAGCAAATTGGTCTGAAGCAGGGATAACGCTCAATTAGACCGATTCAATAAAATACAAGTCTCGATTTGGGGAAAGAAGTTCATCAGTGTACTTCGCTAATAATAATATAATATATAGCACGCGCAATGGCAATGACGATGTCAATTCGTCAGAAGCCTATTATGATCAAATACGAAATTATTGCCGACGTTGCAATTGTGATATTCTATCCCAATGACGCCTTCCGGATATCAGGATGCCTAAGACAGAGGTTAATTGTTCTCCCCAAGTTAGACACAAAATCTAATGTTTGGATATATATATCTTCCTTTGATATGAAAATTCAACCACTAGAACAGATGAATATTTAAGATAAAGGGAACTTTCTACTATACCCGCCATGCTATCTGACCCGAACGAGCCACCTGGTGGTGAAACTGGTAATTAGAACTACTCTCATCTGAGTTATTGTTTCCCTCAGACAAAAGATGGGATATATGCACCTAACCTATCGAGAGGTTCACTCCTACGAAGTTGATAACAATAAGGAAAGCTACTTTGAAAAGTTTTATTTCTGTTTTATTTTGCTCTAGATGGACAATACTAATCGACAAAACGTTAAATATAATTTATCTTTATCATTTTTGTAAGTGGCACAATGAATGCCTATTTCATTTTGATTTCACAAATGTAGTGGAACTTAAGATGACATTCCCAGTTATGGAATTTAAAATCATCGCCACCATAAAGAAGCGTGCACTTTTGTGAACCAAGTGCATTTGGCTGGCCAGAGGCCCATGATGCAAACGAAATGGGTTTCGTCTTCCACGATGGTCCACCCATCCATTGCCAATGCCCATTTAGAATGTTACCACCAAGGTGAAAGGAGTTTCCATTTGATGCGCTTCCAACGATTTCCCGTCCTTTGATTTCCCTCCGGAGAAAATCAAGCTCTTCTTGCGTTTCTATAGCAGCCAGATTTGCGTCCATTTGTGCACAAACGGTTAGTGCATCGTACCACGTGATCTTCTCGGATATGACGAAATTATAGCAGGATTCCAAATTAGGGTTGTAAAAGAAATTCAGTGGGCAAACGGAGCCCTGTTTGCAAGGATCGCCTTTTACGTCTTTAACGCACACCACGATAACTATCAACGATAGTAGTATGAAACACGGTCTCATCATTGTAAATTATTGCCTGAAATGGAAAATATAAGATTTCCAGTGCTAGAGATTTAATGGGAGCCAGGACTCATGTAGATGACAGTTTACTAATTTTCTCACTGGTTGTTTTTTACACCATTGGTTTGTATGTAATATTTATCAAAAGAGAGTAAAATGCTCTATTGTTTTTGATATTTTAAAGCTTTTCAAATAAAATAACACATATTATATCTCATTTATATCTTTACATCGTAAATTAATCACATATACGAAAAAATAATCAAACTGATATATATTTCTCAAAGCATATGGTTGTTCTCGTGCCTACAAAACCTTATTGAATCACCAGTAGCCTGTAATATAAACACAAGTACATCTTTTAAAAATAACAGTTACAAAATATTTGAATTTTGCGGATCTTGTCGAGTCTTTGATCACGCACTTGTAATAGTAGGCGATCACTGTACATACAGTGGTAAAATTGTATCTTCTTAATCATTTACTAAATGTTTAAAGTTTCAATACCAAAAGACTTATTGTTTGATAACATCATCTTTAGTAAGTATTAATTCAGACCAGTTAAGAGAAAATGCATTTTAAAAGTTTAGTTCTCATTGAAACCAATTGTAAAGTAATAATGAAAACATATTTTCAAACTTTGTATGGTTAATTTGACAATGGTATCGAGACACAAAATGTTTCACAAGTCTTATATATTATGTTTTTATTATATATTATTTATTAATCATTTCATACAAAAAGAATTTCAATTTGTGCTTAGATATTTTACCTACAATGATCAATACAAGCATATCTGATATTTTCCTACAGTTGTATTGTTGTAAGTAATATAAATTGTCTTTACCTTTTTGTTGACTGTTTAACCAGATCCAAAAGTAAGCTTGCAAACTACGTTTATTCAGTCAGTGCGTTTAAATTAATACTAAAATACAATGACAATTGTGAAAACGAATATCACGTTTCCACTGTCTGTGGCATTTTTAACAGTATAGAAAAGTGAATTTCAAATGTAAATGTTATTTTTTATTACAAATGATGATATAGCAGTTCTGGTTTATGAAAGTCATCGTTACATGCTGAATTTTTTAAGGTTATCTTCGCTTTTAAAATGATGCATGTTGATTTTAATGTTTTTAGTTCATCTAATTTAAGTAATTCGCCGTTAAGGTGCCATGGAAGTTAACAGGAAATTTCCATTGTGTTCCCGGTCATGTAAATGATATGTGGAACTAGTTAAATTGACTGGAGGTCAAAACAGAACTCTGTTATCTTGGTTCAAAAAAATTTCAAAATCCAGCATGGTTTTGTCACTTTTGGTTTTGTCATTTCCTGTTAACTTCCATGGCACCTTAAGTTGTTGTCATTCGGCTTTGAAAGTTTTAATGTTTTAAAAAACAAAGCATCCATGTTACAGAGCCCTTTGCAGTAGAATATATTATATCGCGGCGATAACATGCAATTTAGGAACAATTTATAGTGTTGCGAGTCATATTAGCTCAAAAAAGTTCTGTTCGTGGAATGTCCATTCCAAACGTATATTTTCCTATCAAGGTTTAAGAAGCTATATTTGTTGTTTCAGCATGCGTATTTTCTATGAATTTCTGACTACACCATTACCGTACTCTAATTTCTATATATCAAATTATAATGTAAGCAAGATTGGTAGAGTACCAATAACAACATCTTTGTCTTATCAACATCTTGGTCTTCTATATTGTTGTTTATAAGTCTTCTATATTGTTGTTTATATTACATTCTACAATTGGCATATGGCACTACTAGTATTCAAAGCTTTAAAAATACAATAAGTGGTGGATAAATGACACATGGCCCTGTTCATGGTAGTACATGCCTTGGTGTGATTCTATCAAAACTGAAACACGCCCACTAAACATTTGGATTTTCGTCACGCATGTTAGTCTCGCTTCCTATGGTCCCATACTGATTTTGTTGACTGCTATCTTGCAAACCCATTTCTGAATTTTGGTTATTACCTACCAATCTACTATGTCCGGCACGGCGATTTTTATATTTTCGCCTTATACCAAAGACAACCATAGCAACCAAGACAACAAATGCCAGCCCGCCAATCACTATACCAACGATTGCGCTGGTATTTTTAGGTTTCACTCGAGCATTCGATTTCGTTTGGTCAATGATTTTATACGCATCTATCGCATCTGCCGCAGAAACTAACTTCCAATTTTGATCCTGGATTTTCACCCAAGCGTTCCCAGCTGCTCCCATGATCACCATTGTATCCGTGGAGTTAGCGTTAATGTGTGGGATGTCAATAAACGGAGGACGCTTGATCGGGGTCAATCCGTGAGACGACAGGGCGTTCACTTTTACGCAATACTCTATCTCACAACCATCGTCAATGGACGCAATGTGCTGACTGTAACCGGGGGGACAACGATGTGGCCAAGAAGCAGGGCCAGCTTCGGATAGATATGTCATCATTGTCCGTGGAGCGCTCCGTTTATTTACAAGATCTTTCGACAGCACGAGTGGATTACCAGCGGTACAGCTGAAAAGTCCAGCAAACGGAATAGAAAATCGGAACCCAAGTTCATAATCATCGCTGACACATATGAAAACGCCATCGCCTAATTTTAAAGCGAAGAAATGCATCGGACAGTTTGTTGACTTTGTAAGCGGATTTTGACGGACTGCTGAGTAAATTCCTCCAAACAGAAATCCAGAATTAGTGTTTACGTGACCCGGGGCATAACACCAATAAACGTCATACTTAGCTTTTGAGGAGCGATCACAAATACGATCACAACAGCGAAGGACCAGCCAACATGTATAACAATGCTCATGGCAGTTGCTCGGGTCACCTTTTCTCTTGGTACCACTATGAAGTAAGACTGCCTTATACATCGATGGGCAGGAAAAGTCACCAGTCAATGGATTTTTCTGGGTAAGTTCGGGGCAAATGTTTCCCGCAGACCGCTCCAATAGAGAACACTTTTGGAATACCCCACCAAATGTGAAATTTGTCATCGCCGTCTCGCACGATCCATCGTCTAAATTTGATTCAAAACTGAAGTTCGGAGAATCCATTTTCGTACAACCATACAGTGTATTAATTTGATAGTATCGATTAACAGTGCGTTCAATTAATCGTGCTGCATTTCTGACACTTGATACGTGAATACCCGGAAACTTACTCGGAGTTATGAAATAATGAAGAGGATCTCCCGACATATCTATTGCAACCAAAGAGTTGACAAGTCCCTTTTCCCAATTTGTGTAAGTAAAGTTCGGCGTGAATGATGACCCACCGTGAGTTATTACTTTAGAATGTGTACGACTGGTCTGATATTTCTTAGTCGTAGAATCGGAGGAACCAACCTCTACACCTATTTTAAAACCAACTTTTCCGAAGAAATCTGCACTAGCGGATGCTTTAAATTGCGTCGAGTCAGTTTTAGAATCGAGAAAAGATGATCGTTTCACGTGGTCTTCTTGTGCAAGTATAGCACCCACGTCTACACTTGTCACAATATGTGTACCATAGTCACGCACCAATAACTGAGCGAGATAACTAGCTTCGTCTGTGTTGTTTCCTTGTAGGCTACCAATCATGTCTAGAACTCGGTTACGAAGCGCCGCTTCAATCTCGGTATCCATGGAAAGTTTCACGGTGTAAACATGGCGTCGTACTTGTACCCGTGTCGTCATCGATTTATCGTTGTACTGTTTCGTCTTGGCTTTCTGGTGAGAGTACGAAAACGAACCGCTGATGCGAGAAAGGACATTCACTTCAATGTTAATACTCCTCGATGTCATGCTCGAGTAACTTGTCATATCCTCAAATATCTCCGCGTATGTTTCCAAATTGGTTCTTTTCTGTGGAATCACAAACATCCCATCGGGAATCAAGTACATTCCATCTTCTGAACTTAAACATTGACTGTAATTCCTTCGAGCAACAATTCCCATATCGAGGTTCCGCAAATTATCCCAGCCCCCACCGGGAAGGGCTTCAAGACGGGGTAGTAATTTTCCTTCGGAGTCTGCGCAGTTACGGTAATCCCCTAAAGGGTATCGTTTTTGTGGAGTGGGCTTAAATGCGGAAACGCTCGATTGTGCGCCATTACAATGCCCATCGTCGCCGTTCTCACAAACCTCTGTTAGCGATAAATCGGGCAAAGTCTCTCTGCTGATCACAGCCACGATTAACCCTAAGAGAAGAGTAGCTAATATAAGTTTATCCTCCATATTATCTGTGTGTAGATCGTTTTTAGAATATGAGCCGTTTGATTTGATTTAACGTGAGGATAAATTGTTAGATTATGAGGAAATAGAATTGTTGTTGATAAGGTGTCTCGAGTGCCAATTTAGAAATATTTTCCTTATAAGGGTCTATACTTTGGATGTTCATATATTTTCAATTTAATGTGGATTACCAAGTAGTCAGTACTTTCTGTCAAACTCATCTCTATATGTTAGGAGACTCTGAATAATTACAAAAGGAGGAAATACAAAAAATCGGAAAGGTGTGGCGTTCATATCACTACCTCGTTTTACAATTATTTCAATTGCTTCCTTGTCAACAAGTGTTAAAATACATATTTCAAAAGTTTAATTGAACTACTCGATTGCTGATAAAATACTTTTTCAAATAAAGTTACAAAACATAATGTTTTGTAAATATTGAAATTTTGAGGAAATTCCACAAAATACTGATCAATGATGCCACGGAGAAACATCACTCTTCTCGTATTATCAACTGACTTTCATCTTCAAAGCTAAATGTATAAGTTGCGTATATATAAATTAGATATTAAGATTTTGTGCAATAATGACTGTGATACATCAGTTGGTCTGATGAATTCAACGTAATCGCTTCTTTCAAAAACACCGATGCATCACACACTCATGTTAGCTTCATTAGCAATTGTCAAGTATTGTTATGTCACCAATAGAAATGGTGACATATTGTTATAGTCTCCAACTTTTTTGTGGACTGTGTTCTTCGGTCAGAGATCGGTGGCGTTCGGTTGTTGATGTTCGGCGTTCGGCGTCTGTAAAAATGTAGTGGTGACATGTTGTATGTTAACGCCTTGTTATAGCATTGTTATTGCTCATTGAAATAATGTTGACAAATAATTATGAAAAAATTTACTCGGTTGTTAAAATACACATTCAACAAGTTCACATATTGATTCATTATCCCTGGAATCATTATTTCCTTTGCTAGGTCACATCAACCAAAATTGACTCAGCATTATTTGATAGACGATATTTATCATTATCTAATTAACTTCAATTTATTTATTGGCATTGTGTCTCATTCAAATTACATTTATTTGACATCTATGTATGCACATATCTATTAATTTGTTATTTTATGCTTTTAAAGCAAGGGGTATTTGTCCACGATTTTGTGCAAGTTTCCGTATCTACTTTGGGAAATAAAATTAAAGACCAGCTATTTTGATGCCCGACTCGGGCACCCCAGAGAAGGTAAAGTCGCAGAGGCTCATTTCAAAACCCTCTCGTGTTTGCAACTCAGAGTAAATAATTTATAAAATGAAATGAAGTTGCATATTCGGTAGTTATGTAATGTGATGATATTGAAAATTCAAAACTAAAAGAAATTAAAAAAATTGCTAGAAGTCAACGTGTCTTTATAACTCTCTTCGTTTGGTTGAATATGAATAATACAATGTCTTATTACTTATTAGAGAAACGGGATTTTCTAAATTCTCATCTTCGTTTACTCGACTCCCGTCGGTCGTAAATGAATGCGAATATTGCCACAATGATTGTGCATATCAGCTGTAGATATACAATCATCAACTTTAGGTATACAATCATCAGCTTCAAGTATACAATCATCAGCTGTAGATGTACAATCATCAGCTACTGGCATTCAATCATCGGCTGCAGGTAAACAATGATCAGCTGCAGGTAAACAACCATCAGCTTCGGGTATACAATCATCAGCTACATATATACAATCACTAGTACTACTCTACGGTTTGTCTCAATTGTTTATCTGTACATATCGCGGTCGGGCTGAAATTAAACAAAATAGCATTATTTTAGCCATTGGGGGGCTGGTTTCAGGAATATCTTATTTCGAAATCAAATACTCGCACGCCAATGCAGGTCGATTCATCGAGGAGTTGGTGCATCTAACTAAACTGTATAGACTGGGAAATATAAAAGCAGAATAAATTTTACTTGATTTCGCCACATTTTCGATAGTTCCTTTCCAAGTGCATTGCAATTAAAAAATTAATTTACATATTCAATGCTTTATATTTTACCTAACTATTATAAGTTATTGAATGATTTGAAGTGCAATACAGGATATATTGTGGTCGAGAAATTCTCTATAAGGCCCCAAAAAGTGGGCCTTTTTGGTCATTACTGGGCCTTGTAAGGCCTTATTATTTAATTTCAGGCCAACTTTTGAAGAAAATTGGCCTCAGAATTTCAAAATCCGGGTCCACTTTGGGGTTTTAGGGGCCCAAAAGTTTTTACTCTGACCTGAAATTTGCCCCCCCCCCCTTGTTGGTTCCCAGATCCGCCCCTGTGTATTGCCACGGATATGATCAATGGAAACAATCTCAGTAGCAATACAGATTGGTACAACCAAACAGGATTGACTCCCAGGATCGAAACTCAATATTTTCCAACAATGAAAACGTCGAAATGTCGTTATCATAACCGACTACAAAGTCAAAATGAACAATTCAAAAGATTCGAACCAATATTTCGATCACTTCTTGTGAGTTTTGGAATTTTTCAAAAGGAAATAAGACCAAAATTCACGATCCAAATGTTGAAGTGAACAAAATGGCAGCTGTTTGGATTCGAATTTTGTATCACGACATGCCCATATATGGGACAGATTATCGATGTTGCACTCTGGGAGCCAATCCTCCTTGGGTACAACACAAGAACTGACCAATCAGAGGGCTTCATTTTACTGATCATACGATTATACATTTTATCGTTGTAAGTTGTTAAACAGGCAATGCGCCTATTTTTGAAGGAAAAAAGAACAAAATATCATTTGAGACATGTCACTCACACAGTCAATCAAATGTGATAAAAACTTGGGTCAATACTGAAGTGAAGAAAATCACTCGCATAGAAAACAGCATTTGAAGTTCAGAGATCAAAAGAAGTGAATTATCACTTTTCACAAAGTGTATGTTTTTAAATAACTCTTGGATTAAAATATGGTGTATGGTTGAAAATCCTATCAAAAATGAATGGATGATTAATGCAAACAACAATGCCATCTTTCTATGGCATTCCTAAAACTTGACATATATAAATTGATAGATCAAAAATATTTTTTCATGATCTAGTGTCAACTCTGATGTGGTCTGTTTGAGCTGTTTTTGGTGTCAAATGAAAGATCAGGTACTTATTTATCCATTGGAAATACATGAAATACTATGAAGATCAAAAGTGAGACTTCATTTACGCACTTTGTCCCTTTAACCATTTATTCTGAACGACGATAAACATTAAACGAACGTGCGAGGGGGATCCACCCAAGATGAATTGCTTTCCCCAATTGTTTGGAAACAAAGTATATTACAAAAATACTGGTCTCTGTGTCGCAGTAGTGCTATTTTTACTTACATTACAGATACAGTCTAAGTGAATTAAAGTCCTCGATCGATGCGATATGCCTGACGTCACATTCTTTTGAAGCACCCAGCCACCGGATATTACGTTGTAGTCCAATTGCTCTGGATTGTCCCAGACCCGGAAAACCACTTCCTAGTCATAATATTGTAAGTTTTTAAAGCATTAAAACGTTATCAAATGCAGACTCACTGGCATCTATGACTATAGACTAAATGTGTAGATGGTGTACAATAGACGATTGGATAAGACTAGAATATTGAACGCATAAGTCAGAAAAGACAAAGTACAGAAGTAGGCACAAAAGCAAAGGTTTTTGGCCGATATGAAGATGACACTAGTGTTTGTGTATACGTTTATGAGACAGAAATAGGAAGAATTGCACCACTATCTGTTTACTTCTACTGCTTGTTCGTCAATGAAGTTGACATGTTCACAGGTACTTTCAAATTAACGCCCCGATTACAGTATATCATAACATCGAGCCTCTCACATGCAATGTGATCGGGGCGTGCATGGACCTATTGATGATGTACTGACGTGTCGCAAAAAGGTCGCGCACGCATTGTTACACATTTTCGCTTTTTAACACCACATAATGTGACGTTTTTTGAGAAAAATGTACACATATGGAAATCCTTTCGTCCTCCACATTTGCCTCTGTATCTCAAAATGTTTAAGGCGAATAACTCTGATATCGTATTTGTATTAACAATGGGATAGGAGCATTATAAAACACGAATCAATTGATATTTTAGGTGAAATAAATATACGTGTTGATGTGCTTGAAAATAGGCGAATGGCGTAAATGGCGTAAATTAACCCTATTTTATTGAATTTTGAAAACCTTTCGTCCTCCACTTTTCCACATACAACAGAAAACACATACTTTTCAAAATCAACTATTTATTAATAAACTAGAGTTTAAGAGCAAAATAATCATGTATGATTTATTAAAAATTGATCTCGTATTTTTTGTTTAATGTACACCTGAAAAGTTGAAGGTAACAAAAAATGAGCAAAAAAGGTCGCTGTCAACAGATTCTATTTTTCAAACTCTATGACGTCTCAATATTGGACGCTTACTAAAATTCATCCTTTGAAATAAAACTTCCATCTACCTTTATCAAGACGAAAAATAAGTATAATAGTCATATATTGTTTGAGTTATAAGCGTTTAAAGACGAAAAATAATTCAAAATGTAACGTGTCAACAGGGGATATTTGCCAGGTGTTTTGGTAAAAAACTCTTTTTTAAAAAAGAACGCGCAAGAATCGTGAACGGAGTGTAGTTGATCTAAAAACTTCATCGAAACAGCTTTAAAATGATATATAACTTTAATTAGAATATTGTCTTATAATCCGGGGAAAAAACAAATTCACGCGATACCCTTAAAAAACAAATGCGCCATCTTTTTGCGACACGTCACTACAAATAAAGCATTGATAACCATAACAATGCCACTGATCTCTGCTTTCTTAGCAGTGTTGAGAATATATACGAGGGTGATTCAAAAGTAATGGGCAATATCCTATAGACAGAATAGGTATTACCCAATCGATCTAACTCTTTAAATAACTTATATCAATCAGATATATTTAAGAAATATTTCTTTTTAATTTGGCTGAACACCTTTCAGTTGTGTGTAACCATAGGTGATACTGGAAACTTCCCTTTAAGGTGTTTTCTGAATATTTTCTTGTCATTTCTGTTTGTGTTTTTCTGTTTTTCCACATTTCTGGTGAGTCTGGCCGTATCTTATTGACATGGTTCCAATTGCTTCAATTTGTGCTATAACACCTTGGAATTCGAAGATGTCTGGCACACATAAAGCATGGAGATTAAATCAAAAGATTTGATTGACATTTGACATGCTTAAACAATTCTATTCAATCTCCATATACAGTAGCTCTGACACTCCTCCGTGCAGTTTTGAATACAACTATTTCCCCAGATTATAGTGGCCTTAAAGGGAACATACGTCCAAATTCCAATGGACAATAAAGAAGTTGTACAAAAACCTGATCATGGTAGGAGATGAACAATTTATTAACAGAAACTTTGTGCAGCGCGCTATTTTCAATTTTGTGATTTTATTTTTGTCTTCGTTTATCGATATATGAAACGAAATATTGAATTCAAGAACTGTGAACGAACGTCCACAAATTAGTTCATGGTATGACTTCCGAATATGAAGGATCCATAGCACACTATAGCGCAGCAACATTTTAAGCAATATTTATGAAGGTGTATATGTCTTGATTCTTTTAAAATACCGTTTGCTGAAAAAACTTCCGGCTTTCGGGTCGAAAAATGTCTTTCATCACAAGGGGTCAAACAACGTAGATATTTTGATTCGAACTTTTATACATTTATAAGACACAGACCGTTATTCTAAGCATACGAACAAAAATAGATTATCATAATGTAAAAATATACTATAATTTTACTGTAGATGTCGGTGTTTTATTAGTGTATTTACGCAAGTGTATTTTTCAGATTTTGTTTGATTTTTCAAATATATATTTAGGTAATTTATGATTGGGAACATATCAGTTTATTTACCATTTAAAACATTTTATTACCAGAATTTTTCCATATAATCGCAAGGGGACAAACAACAAATTATTGTTCATGTTTTATAAAACATAATACAATAACAAATAGGTAAGCTTTATATCTAATTAAATGTTACAGAGGTATTAGAATGTTCATATATTCCAAGGGCATGTCTCATAATCAATAAGAGTTATAGGCAATCGAACGCCTTACAATTATTCCTCGACGTTACTGCTGACTATCACACACCCGGTGATCGTGAATATGGGACGGAGGGGGGGAGCAGGCAATTTCTGCTAGGAAATTCAACAAATCTGGAAGATTTATTTTTTAAAGAAAAAGTTTACTATTGAATTGCTTAAAGGATAGGCGCACGGTATGGTAGAATATGTTAGGTTTTCTGGGATTTTTTCTGAAACGATACGCATCTACGGTATGAGATCTATTAAAAAAGGCGCAAGGCTATCAACAGGCACAAATCAACGTTTTTGCTATAAATCAAGCAACAATGGACTACACGACCTGTAATAAATACTTGTAAGTGATGTTATCATAACTAAATTAATGTCATTGCTGAATTTATAAAATAAGTTTCCATATGTGAAATAAAAAATAATCGAAAATAATGAATTTGGGACGGAGGGGGGGAGGGGACGGAGGGGGGGAGCAATATGTATATAAGACATGATTAGAGATGTTTCGCGACTTTAAGTCCTTTTACTCCAAATGTCCCCATTTTTCAGTCTCCGGGGGTATATCATCCAGTTTCTTACTAAGTTAATGAGTTCATTTTTCAAATACAAGAATTCGTGTGAAGTTGTTTCACTTTATAGAATTATTACTCCCCCCCTCCGTCCCCTCCCCCCCCCCTCCGTCCCATTTTAATTATTTTCGATTATTTTTTATTTTACGTATGGAAAGATATTTTATAAATTCAGCAATGACATTAATTTAGTTATGATAACATCACTTACAAGTATTTATTACAGGTCGTGTAGTCCATTGTTGCTTGATTTATAGCAAAAACTTTGACTTTTGTACGTTGGTTGCGTTGCGCCTTTTTTAATAGATCTTATATCTTAAAAGAGTATCGGTTGAAAAATAATCCTAGAATACCCAACATATTTTATCATACCGTGCGCTTATTCAATTTGCAATTCAATCGTAAACTCTGTCTTGAAAAAATAATTTTACCAGATTTGTTGAATTTTCTATCGGAAATTGCCTGCTCCCCCCCCTCCGTCCCATTTTCACGATCACCGGGCGTGTATCATAACATTTTCTGACGGTTGTTTCTTCTTTGACCTTATCACTGGATACAATTCATTTAAGGAAGATAATGATAACGATTTTTCTCAATTATTCATGAATTTGACCGAGTCTTGATCATTGTTTTATAAGCAACAGAGATATATCTAACTACGAGAAATATAACTATAGCTCTAGTCCCAATTAGTCAAGGAAGAGCAATAGGCCTTCCTTTATTGATAATGTTCACCGCTGAATAAAAGTCCATTTCTCAAAACGTATTGAGACCCATTTTGTGAAAAACTAGCATAATTTAAGCATTTGTCATTCTAATATAAAAGTGAATCATTTATAGCATTTATCTTATTAATACCTGAGAAACAATACAAAACGTCGATACACTGATTACATAATTTTTGGTTTTAATAAGAAAAATAACCTCAAACTTATAGCTTATTAACCTAAATCATATATTTGAAATCATTTCATATTACTTTCTGTTGCATTGTGTACTCCAAATTGTGAAACATTGGGATTTTATTTTTTGGTAAACTGAAAGTTTTGACAACTTAAACTTAGATAATTAATTAATCCTGATTTATGCCAAACATCACACCGATTGAATGGATTCAAATGTGCATATAAGTGTTATCCATTACTTTTAAATCAGCTCTCGTATATGGATAGATAAGCAGATAGGTATAAGAAAAGTAAACGCATACCCTTTCCTCTCCCACATAATGGAAGACTTCCCGATTTCCACCTTCAGGTGTCCCTTTCTGTAAAAACGAAATCATCGCATGTGCTCTCCACGCAGACATGATTTCATCGTACGTCTTACCTATGTGAAGAAATAAAATAATCCATTTCATTTAAAGAGCCTCGAAGAATTAAGTCAACCTTTACCAGACAGTACGTATATACTTTTCTGAGATAATGCACCCTAAACAGACTGTGCAATACGAAAACGAGCGGTGTGGATATCATGTGCGCAAGGTGCGGATAATAACGGTCATTTTTGAATTTGAATTCGTGATATTTCATTAACTAAGGCATGTTCGGTACTCAATTATAGTCATCCATTTGTAGAGGATGCCGAATAAAAGGGAAAGGACGATTCTCGGTTTGGAGAACAGTCTACTGGGCTAAAAATATAGAAATATTACCCAAATTAAACTATGAATATTCAAAAGAGGACATTTAAATCTACAAGATGTAAAAATAACAAATTGGTCTGAAGCAGGGATAATGCTCAATTAGACTGATTCAATAAAATACAAGTCTTGATTTTGGGGAAAGAAGTTCATCAGTGTACTCCGCTAATATTTTTTGGCGAAAAATCTAAAAATATTACCCAAATTAAATTATGACTATTCAAAAGAAGACATGCAAATCTATATTATGTAAACAAAATCAAATTTGTCCGAAGCAGGGATAATGCTCATTTAGATTGAAGAACTTCGTTCTCCAAACCGAGAATCGTCCTTTTGTCTATAGTTGTATTCTTCATTTCTTAACGACGCACTAAGCAATCACACATAGCAAAGAATTTGAAATTGCTGCTTTATTACACAGTTTACAGCCTTCCATGTATTGGTGATCGAGATGACCAATCGATATAAATTATTTTTGCATTATGAAAGTCATAAACTTTCTATGTGAATTCTTAAAAAATTGAAAACATTTATCGGATATGTGCTTCCTCTAAACAAGCGGGGTGGATATCGTCACTTTGCAGATATCCACACCACTTGATTAAAGGTAGCACATTTTTGTTTAATGTTTCCCATTTTGTATAAAACCCCACAGGAACCTTTCAACTTTCCAAATGCAAATATAATTTGTATTGATAGGTCATTTCGATCACCATTATTGGATGAATGCTGTTTACGCTGTGAAACAGCTGCAATTTCAAATTATTTGCTTTGGAGAGAGTATTATTGCTCGATGTGTCGCTATAGAATGAACTGCACGCCTATTTACATAATTTCCTTTTTATTAGGGAACCTGTACACATGTATGAATATAATTGAGTACCCAACACGCCTTAGTTAACGAAACGGGACTCTTTATTTACAATTGCTTATATATCGTTTATACAATACAAAACACAAATCACAAGAGGTGTAATTATCCGCTTTAATCTATTGTTCCGAAGAAGGGTTAGATAAAAAAAATGGATTAAGACAAAATATCACTCAGCAAAATTAATAATCTTAAAAGACACTGACTTCTTTTACGTTCGATACACGTTTGGGATGTTAAGATTTGTTTTAGAAACTTATTTTATTGTCAAATTAGTTGTGTCAAATGTTGATTATGTTTGGCATTAATTGTGTCAAGTGTTTATTGTGTTTGGCTTTAATTGTGTCGAGTGTTGACTGTGTTTGGCATTCATTGTGTCGAGTATTGACTGTGTTTGGCATTCATTGTGTCGAGTGTTGATTGTGTTTGGCTTTAATTGTGTCGAGTGTTGATTGTGTTTGGCATAAATTGTGTCGAGTGTTGACTGTGTTTGGCATTAATTGTGTCGAGTATTGACTGTGTTTGGCATTCATTGTGTCGAGTGTTGATTGTGTTTGGCATTAATTGTGTCGAGTGTTGACTGTGTTTGGCATTAATTGTGTCGAGTGTTAACTATGTTGAGACTCTTTTTGTCATTTGGTAAATTGACCAAAATGAGATAAGATCTGTTATAAGCTTAAGCTACCAGAATAATACGAAAGGCATACCTGGTGGGTAGCTAAGCTCACGGAATACAGCTACAAGCGTTTCACACTTTAGAGAGGCTCTTGGCATTATAGCCTCCAAATTATCTCGAGACATCTCGAGACCAAGTGTCAATATCGCAAAGTCATAGTAGTCCATTACTGGCTGTACATGGCATTTAAAACGAGAATCTTTCGTCAACAGTGCTTTCTCTAGATGTCCCGCGCTGTCACAGCCATACACTACATATAGCCGATTCTCTGCTACTGCCTGTGTGTTTCAACATTTAAGTACAATGCATCCAACAATTTATTGCATCTCATCAATACATACTAGGAGGACGTCCATTATTTTTGATTATCAAGCAGTTACTCTATCAATATCCTATTGTCTCACGATGGAGTAACTGACCTGATTATTGTGGCATCAAATGACCAAAGCAAAGTAACTTTAAGTAAAAACAGGACAATCTTACTTTTATCAAACAATCTGACGGATAGACGGACGGGAGGACAAACAGACAACGGCAATGGAACTGTCAAAGGAGTAAGTTACCTTTAGTGGATAATACATTTTGCATTTAGGTTGCCGATCAAGTTCAGCTGCAAAGTCTTTGAGAAATTGAATGTCGCAGTCATCTTCATATGTGCAATCCAAGATCGCGTTCACCCGTTTGTACCGACGCAGTCCAGGTTGTTCTGTCTTGGGAGGTGGGGGCGTGTACTGGCATTTCGCGTGACATGGATGCACCGGGTCTTCTAAAACCCAAATGGTTCTCAAGATTATTAAAGATAAATAAATGAAGGCAACATCATTAAAGACATACTACTACTTTTAGATACATTTAAATATGACGACGTTTATATGATTGTGATTCATCTTTTGACCTAGAGCTAGCAATAGTATTTTAAATAAAGAACGCACCCGGTGGACAAACGAATTCACTTATACTCAAAAAGTGATCAAACACTGTAGATGCAAGTTCTTCTGTGTCTGTTTCGTTATCCAGTTGAAATCGATCCGCATCGTCTGCCAATGTTTCAAGTTGTTCTTGGGTGTCTGGTAACAATTCGCGACCCTTCTTGTTTGGCAGCTCGATAGCAATTGTCCGTACGGTCTTTCGCAATTCTCGGATGGCAGATGTAGTTTCTGGGATAAATTTCTGAGGCTGCGTTCGCCCGTCTGTGATAACAAACAAGGCGTCTGGACTGCGATTGTCGTTTGCATCTGACTCAAAGAAATCTGTTTTCGCCATATTGATAGCATTTTGGGTGTGGGTTTTACAATCGATCGTTTCCATTTGAAAGTTTTCAATCTTGTTCAAGATTTCCAGTTTGGAGAGTTTTTCATTAAACGTAAACACATGGCGTGCTTCGACGTCGTATGCTATCATGCCGAACTGAGTTGCGACATTACTCACATTTCCTTCTTTAACGGAATCAAACTGAGCCACGAAATCTTTTATGAATAATTTTGCGAGTGCCTTTGTTTCGTCATCAACGCTGCATGATGTCTCTATTGCAAAGACTATGTCTGCACATACTAAAGAAAGACAAATGATGACGGTGACTTTAAAAGCATGAAATGAATACGTTTTAGGATGCTAGTCTTTGAAAATACACGTTTCTATTAAAATTGTATAAAATCCAATACCCTCTGTAAAGAAAAAAAGGTGCATTGTCCTTTACCAATCATAGCTTTTTTTCGTTGTTATCATACCAAACTTTGAGAGGTATAATGTATGAATACTTTGACCAAGTGGAGAAAATTAAAAAAAAATTCGTATATATGGTAAAAAGTTAAAGGATTGAATATAACAACTCCCAAAATCATGAGTGTGACTTTTTACCATAAATGCATTGACGTCATAAATTTGAGAAATCCTATACCCAGCAATGTACTCAAGAAGGGGATCTTCTGAGACATGAATTTAAATTGTTAACTACATTTAGAGGAATACACCATCTTGAATCCAATAAAACTTTGTGAAAAATATCATTTATAGAATGAAAGTCTGATTAATTACAACCATTTTGTGATAGAATTTGAGGTAATATCCTTCAGATTCTCTTCTCAGTTCAAAATTATGGGTAGGGGTAACATATATTACAATAAATTTGATATTGTAAGATAACCTTAAATCTTTCTCAATGACCCATAAATATGTTATACATCCTATACTTAGCGTATGCATACCAAAATTTATGTCAGATGTGATATATAAATGTGTTTATTGAGCAAAATGGTTACATTCTATCCCTAATTTCACTGCCATTTAAGGCGTGAAATTGTCTAAAAATCATGTTTTAGACGGGTTTTGGCACTTCCATAATTTTCTGTCAATGTGTCAATGCTTATTTCAAACCTGTTATATACACTGTATAATAGCAAATTGTAATTTATGACATAATTCAAAGGAAAAAGTCACATTAGAGAATTTGTGAGCTGTGTTTTTACCATTGATAACTTTTTTTAATTTTCATCTAATTTTTTAAAATTTCCACCAGTTATTCAACATATGCATGCCATGTGCCTCCAAGAGTTTAGTAATATTATACAAAATTCTGAAAAGGTTATGACTGATAAAGGACCATGCACCTTTTTTCTTTACAGGGGGTAGTTTAAAGTACATTACAGTACATTAATATACAGAGAATGTAAATATTGTATCCAGTATTTTGAAGAGAGTTTAATTTATAGTAAGTACTAAAGTCTTCAAAAAACATTTTAAATATGATAGTTACTGAAAATAGTTGTGTCAAATCGTGATTAACAAAATATGAAAGTCATTATAAAAATAAGCACACGTACATGTCAAATGCAATAAATAGAATTAACATATTGGTGAGATTGACTATCCTGATTTAGGATCTTTGAAAAATCTCTTTAATTTGCAATTCGGGCAGTATTTCTGTTTTATTTGTGTAATCATTGATTTGCTTTGTTTTCCGTGTCAGACCTTTCATACAGACTTGCACATTGTATCCTCTTTTAAATATTCAGGGTGACCCCAAAAACAGAACTCTCTAAAACTGTATTAATTTCTTTGTAATTATTTTATCAACCCAATTTTTCATGTGCATAAAGTATAATCTATGTATGAACATATGATATTAAGGTTGTTACACAAAATTGATCATTAGTCTTATCATATATGATCTTTGAATGTGTCCTATTTACGGAATGTCAACAATGAGACAAAATCATATCTTGAGAATTAATGAGAAATTCAGAAGGAAATTCCAAGTAAGACGTAAAATGAAAGTTGCATTTGATATTTCAAATGAAAAATGAAGATTAAGCAATGGTTAAAACACCTAGTAAAATCAGATGACTGAAATCCCTGGCCTCTTAGCAAGAACACCTTAAAACGCTACAAAATTCTTTTGGACGAATTCTCAAGAAATCATTATGACAGCAGAATGATCAGTCAAGAGCACTGCATGACATGTGCTGTGGACACAGGTGTATTAAATATATAAGGGTTATGTACTGGGAGGTTTTGGATACAGGTTTTATCCCAAGGGAAATATGTGTATATCCCGAGGGACCGCAGGGACCGAGGGATATACACATATTTCCCGAGGGATAAACCCTGTATCCAAAACCGACCGTACATAACAGATGTATTTCATACCTACTGATGTCCTAGGAACGTCATATACCTTATAAAGTTCCAAAATTCAAAAATATACTGAAGATACGCATTTTCTTGGTGTTGTAAAGTGTTTTTTAAGTTTCTGAGATTTTCAAACTCATATAACTCATACTTTGAAAAATTTTGAAAAAAATGTGAAAAAAAAATTTTGAAAAAGAATGTGAAAAATATTTTGGGGAAAAATGGGAAAAAATATTTGAAAAAAAAATTCCCGCTCGTTATGTACCTAGAACCTCAGTAGGTATGAAATGCAATGTAATATATACTGGTAATTGAAACACTTTAAATTAAATGTTGATCAAAAGTGATATACACAAACTATGATACAGGGTGACACCCCCCCCCCAAAAAAGAACCCTCTAAAAGTGTAATAATTTCTAAAATACTTATCCTATCAACCTATCAACCTGGTTTTTATGTGCATAAACTACAATCTATGAAATATAATATGATATAAAGGTTGTTTCATAAAATTGGTTATTTGTGATAGCATGGATGATCTTAGAATATGTCCAATTTTCGAAAAATCAACATCTTGACAAAATCATTTCTTGAGATTTAATGAGAAATTCAGAAGAAAATTCCAGTGAAGACGTGAAATCAAAGTCTCATTTAATATTTTAATTGCAAAAATGAAGTAAAACCCCTAGTAAAAATCAGATGATTGAAATGCTTGACCTCTGAGCAAGAACACAAACATTCCTTTTAAAAAATGGTATATACTTATACATGTTATATCAATGTTATAAATAAATAAATTAAACAGAAAGCATATGTACTAGGCAGAGACGTATACTCGTAATATACATACAACAGACAGCTAGATTTATTATTTTGCGTATAATATTATTTGCCGAAGATATTAGGGTAAAGTAGGATGTATTTTTTCCCGAATAAGATACCCGTATCTTCTCCTGTTATTCATGTATTAATGTATTCGGCTCGTATTATTCCAGGTTACACCCGTTTAAAACACCGTATATGATATCCATTATGGGTGACCAAAATTAGCTGAAAGCAATGGATTGCATGAGTTTTCCCTATGGGAAATATTATTTTCAACTTTATCGAAGAGGAATTATTTATTCTTTTAAAGGGGTGAAATGTGTCTTAAAACGCAACATATTGACGCAACAAAAAAGCAGGGGTGGAAGGGGTTGAAAATCAGGACAACATTTCAGAAAAACGTGTGGGTGGGTTGTTTGCGTCTCCCCTGTCTCATAGTCGAAATATATACAGTTTATATATTATCATCTCTATGCATTGGACTAATATATGCACCTGTTTAAATCCTCAGAAAATAGCCAATAGGTATGGAATTAATACATCGGTTGGTTTCGGATACAGAGCGGATACAGAGTTTATCCCTCGGGATATATGTGTATCTCCTATCTCCTGTGTAAACCTTAGTTTTAAGGTTTTCGATGATACCTTTTTCAATGCAAGTCTAGCCTTAGTCTAATTTGGAATTCTTTGAAATATCTGCCAAACAGAGTTCAGAACAAAAAGCAAAGATATTATAATTAAGATTTTATAATTTGAGAAATCTGCTACAAAGTTAGATTACCTACCCGATTGTTTTCCTTGGGAGAACACGATGCCCACTGAACATGTTAACATGAGCGTTACAACTCTTAAGTAGACAGCATTCATCTCGAGTCTTCCAGATCCGTACACTTTCAACACCGTTTGAAATAATGCGCAACGTGAAGCATTAACTATATCTTACTTACTATGTGTCAGTATTTGTCAAATTAAAATGATAAATTATTAAAGTTTGATCGTTTTGAAATTGAGTTGTAATTGAAGCGTGAAGTAATTTATTGAAAATATTTTTTCAATGTTATTTTGATTTCACTTGATTAAATTCAAGTTTGTGAAATTCTATCAGTGAAGTTTCACACTTCGGCTTTATAGAAGTGTACGCGATAGTTCAGAATGACAACAATATTCTAACCTCCCCTGTTGAAGAGCTCAAATTCCGGGAACATATGTTTTACATTCGGGTTTTTCCCCCATTGAAATATACAGGGTGGGCCAAAAAACCAATACCCAACTTTAAATCAGAATGAAAATAGCTATGTTCAATATAATACATTGATTTATATATCATTTTAAAAGTGATCCATTTTTGAACAAATTGGTATATAACACTATGTCATGAAATCAATATTAAAAGTTTTATTATGCTTATTTGGGAGGCCGGGTCGGTATTTAAGGTATCCATATTTTAGGGAGAAAATAGTAAATCTGCGGAAAAATGTTAATTTTTTATTTGTAGAAAATCATTTTGTTAGGTGAATACATGCTTGTATATTTGCATATTGTGTGACTAAACTTATTGTTTATGAATTTTAGTGTTTATTATCAATAAGTACTCAAAGGGGGTCTGTTAAAAGACATTAGACGTATATTTTATTTTCCAACAAGACATTGCCTCGTACCATAAATCTCAGGAGACATTGGAATTCCTTTGCAAACAATGTGTCAATTTGATTGATCTCGATGCTTGGCCACCCAACAGCCCCGATGCTACATGTAATGTGTTCAATTACCATACATGGAGCCATCTCGAGGAAATGGTGCAATCAAAAGCTTCCAATAAACAGTATTGATGAGCTGAAACAGAATCCTAGAGTGCTGAAATGAATTGCAACAGAAATCTCTCAATAAGGCGATTGATAGATTGTGCTACCACTTGCAATTGAAGCTTATTGTTGATGCAGAGGGGAGGGGGTGGGGATATATCGAGCAATTGTGATAATTGTTTAAATAAATAAAGTGTAAAATGTTATTAAACAGCACTGAAACTCATAAACAATAAATTTAGTCACACAATGATGCAAATATCAATATCCAAGCATGCATTCACCTCACAAAAGAATGATATTCTATAAATAAAAAATTAACATAATTCCGCAGATTTACAATTTTCTCCCTTAAATCTGGAGACCTTAAATAGCGACCTAGCCTCCTAAATAAGTATAATAAAACTTTACTATTAATTTCATGACATAGTGTTATATACAAAATTGTTTGAAATTGTATAACCTTTAAAATGATATGTAAGTCAATATACCATATTGAATGTAACTATTTTTATCCTGATTTGAAGTTGGGTATTGGTTTTTTAGCCCACCCTGTATATGTATATGAGTCCGATTTTTAATACATCATTTCAGCATTATATGACAATCCTCTTCACGGATATTTGCACAATCGATAATCATGAAATATGCTACGGTAACTTCATCCACTAAGTACCCAGAAAATTATTAATTACATTACATTAATTACAATGATAAGTAGAAATTCATTTCAATTGAAATTCAATTCCATCCTGTATATCAGCTTGACATTTTGAAACAGTCTAATTGTGCAAATACTCGTTAAATAATGCGTAGCACCATTGTCGGCATTCTATGTGATTACATGTACCCCATTTGCTCAGAATTATGGGATTGAGGATGCACTTCATAACAAGCACAAGGGGAAAGAGTACCCGTGTATATACAACCTACCGCCGAGCAAGACACGCACATACCGCCGAGCAAATGTTTGATAATGTCATCTCGTAGGAAAATGGACAATAAAGGTAATATAATGTCACTAACAATTCCTTTGGATGGTTAGAGTTGGTACTAAGATGTTCTAGCAGGCGCAATTGGCCTAGAATTATAGTTGAAATATATTTTTATGTCCAAATTAAGAGATAAGGTAAACGTATAATGGTTTTCGATTTGTTTTTCTCATTCATACTCGCTTTAATTGATAATGAGCCATACATAAGACATACTTGGGTCGGTAAATGGATGTGCATATGCATAATATATTAAGTGTCAAAATATTAGGTCAAAATAGCACTTTTGAACAGCAAAATCTTCACTTAAACTTTGTCCTAAAAGATCCGAGGTTATCGGACATCGGACCCGATGTGATCGACGAGTAATATTATAAAGATCCGAAAATATCTTGAGTAAAGGATCTCAGAATCCGAACATTACTTGAGTAAAATCTGTTGAGATCCGATTATATCGTCGAGTTTATGACGTGCTGATGAAAAAATAATAAACATACAATCTGCATCATTCATGTGAATCATTTTGTTGTGAACAATAAATGAAACTAAATATGGCCATCACCAGTTACCACTGCACATTGTCTATCAGGTCCTCGGTACAAATGCTTCCACTGTAGTTATAAATCACACGAGATGGATGACTTTGTGGTCCACTTCAGTCAGCACCATCCATTACTGATATTAAAGTTAATGTGCCTGAGTTAAATGGCAAAAAATGGATTTACAATGTTTTTGACTATGGTATTGTATTATCAAAGAAAGATCACGGTAATTTTCGTTTCGAGGATATGAAGCTTGTGAAGCTTGGGATTCTTCAAGTTGTGTTCTTTGAGTAGAATGGCGCTTGCAATGCAGAATTAAATGTTTTTGGGTTGCACTCTTACCATAGACACATAGGAAATTATGGTGATTCAAGTGTAAGCATGAATTCAATGTTTTAAAGAACTTTGCCGGAAACAGACGTTGACGTATAGTGCTGCGGGAATTATATCATATTATATTATATCCCGGTGCCAGGAGTATATGATCAATAAAAAGGAATATTTGTGATATCGTCATGATATTATATGCTCATTCGAAAGCTTACTCACTACCTCATCGGGTTCTACTCACGGTATAGTCGGAATAGCTCGGTGGTAGCTTCGGGTCCTATATAATCGTACTCGTGACATAACCGGGTCTTTCATTTTCAACTTTCACCGTTGATTTCAATGATATGCAACGTATGGCAGTGAAATAAATATGATACATTTACACCTATTGTATCTTTGAATCGAATGAAGTAAAGACAGCCATGGTTGTTACTTATTCAAGATGTAAATCATCATTCAAATATTTAAAAGTTGAATTTAGCGATTGGATAGTAAACATTGCGCTAAGTACTCATTATTTTGCAAACATGAGTGCCTGGAACAATAACTTTATCAGTTACACACAATTCTGTGTTTTATCTGTTTCTCATATTGAGAAATTCAAGATATAAACAAAAGTTTATAACTCACCCCCTACATTTTCAGACATCTTCTGGTCTTTGCTCGGCGGTAGGTTGTATATACACGGGTACTCTTTCAAGATCTAGGATTCCTGCTTTTGTCAGATATCTCCCTGCGTTTTCCTCTCCTTGTCGGGCTTGGTCTACTCGACCTCTTCTAGTTTAAATTTTGATGACCTCTTTGACAACTTTTTGCATAGTCACAATGATTCCAACGATTTCCCCGTTGACACTTTTCTGTTCAAAGCTGTCAAAATAATTGTGGAATTTACATTAAACCAAGTTCACCCATTCTGATACTCAAACCATCTCTGCAATGCACATGAAAGGAAACTGAGAGAAGGTTGTGATATCTCACGATGAAGTTCACCATACAATGATGCTTGGTGTGCTTGCAAAATATATTGATAGGGATGCAGGGGGATGTGGGATAAAGAATCACAATATGGAGCAAAGTCTCATGAAATTTCTTTGTAACTTTCAAGATGTTTCCTCTCATCATTGAAAGATATCCAGGATTTGTTCGCCTTTTTATATTTGGAACATAAATGAATTTTCTTTATCTTACATAACTTGACCATGTCCCATGTCCCTGTTATCCTTGACCATGGTATCTTCTAGATGTTATATCATTTGAAGGATTGATGTTACTATATTGAAACTGGTTATCTTTAGTGTACTAAGGATTGATACCCCTCTCCATGATATTATCTGGTAACTCAGAATGGGGTGATGTCTCAGGCCCGTAGCCAGGGGGGGGGTTCGCAGGGTTCGGGCGAACCCCCCCCCCCCCTGGCCAAAAATTCCTTCAAAATCATGCAGTTTTTCACCATTTTGAGCACTTCTTAAGTGATTTTAGCCATATTTGGGCCAAAATTGTCAAATGTGAACCCCCCCTGGAAATTTTTGAAAAATGAACCCCCCCTTGGCAAATCCTGGCTACGGGCCTGTGTCTCTTAGATTATTTAAACAACTAAAATAGCACTTTGGATTTGAACACTTCCTTTCAGAAACGACATTTTCAAACGCTAAACATTTAACTAGATTACGTATTAGCGCACACAATCTAGAGATAGAGAGAGGCCATTATCTATGAATGACCATCAAAAGACAATTTTTCTTTTGACGAGTGAGGGGAACATATTAAATGAATCTGCTGACATGATAAATTATCTAATGATTGGTAGAGACAGGATTCTTATATCAAAGTAACATTTTAAATGTCACTTGAAGAATGTAATCCTATTTTCTTTACTTTATTGCTATATTTACTGTTATTGAAAATTGAATATCGGATGTACGTTTGGCCCTAAAAGGACATCAGTACTAACATGATATATGACTAATAAAATCCTATTATATTTGCGAACTGATCATTTGGTTTAATAACAACCAGACATAAAACTTCGGGTTCATTTGTAATGGCGTTTATGCTCACTCATATATCCCGGATGTAGGTACTGGACGAAACGTTTATCAAATACTAATCCCGGGGATTGTTCACACATTACACGTATATCGTTACATCTCCCCTTTTAGTCTATGTTAACAAACAAATAAAATATCATATGTATCTCAAGGGTCCATTTTAACAAACATATCACAAAATAATGTTTTATATTCTCTATCATGAATATGGCACTAATAACTTCTCTGAACAAAAAGTCATTATCTCTTTTACAATGAATATGGTAATCCACTAATATC